CAAAGCAAAATCTCTTAAAAAGTTTATAAGTTTACTTTTTCTAAATTATTGTTTTCATTAAACTCAAGCTAATATTAATAGTAAAGATTTGTGGAAGTGGCTTTAATAATATAAACACCTGCCTATTGCACAAAGGAGTTCAGCTGCTTAGAAATAACTGCATGTTAGCTAATGTAACATAGTTTCCTAAAGTTAAAGATCAGCTACAAACAGAAGAATTATTTCGTTTTCAGTGGGTGCATTTGGCTCAGAGAATGAGCTCCATAAACCACCTAGCAGTTCTCTCATAGCAGCTTAGGAAATAGTGATTGAATCACCATAGGATGGTGATCATTAGGACAGCAATCTCTTCTGAACTGTCACCTGCTGGAACCAAAACTTTGACTTCACTGGGTTATTGGAAGGATGGATCAAATGGCATACAGTCGGAGCACATTGTAAACCTCTGTGCTCTGTGTCCTCAATATCTATATTTAGCTAATCTTAGTGTCCTTGAGATAGATGGAGACTGTTAAGTGGAGTCTAGACATTTGACCCGCAAAGCATGAACTCATGTTGCTTAGAAGAGAGTAGTCTGACAGAACCAGTTCTGTGTCCTTTTTAATGTAGTTGTCTCTGATGATTGCTCCCTCATGCCATCAGACTAGCATTCAGGTAGGTGTGCTTTGGTGTCACCTCCATCGCCACGCCTGTGTTCACGTGTGTATGTGTGTGCCTGTCTGCCTGGTGGGAATTTTGTTTTGTTCTCTTTTATCGTATGCTGTGTGTCTGTGTTTTTTCCTTTTTTTGTTTTTTTTCTTTTCTGTTTTGGTTTGTTTACAGTACATGTTCACGCTCCCTCATTCATCATTGTCTCACAGTGATATGGTAAAGCTCGTACAAGTCCCCAACGATGGCGGGCCTCTGGGAATCCATGTAGTGCCTTTCAGTGCTCGAGGCGGCAGGTAACGTATCTTGCAGGTTTTTAATTGACTCACAGTGTGTGCTGTTTTTGGTGTTGGCTTCACACATTCATAATGGAAAAGGTTTTCATCGGCATCAGATGCTTTCCTTGTACATAAATGGCTTTTCCTAGGCACATAACACAGCCTAATAAAGGAGGTTTCTCAGCACAGAAAGGAACCATGTGTTCAGAATATCCTAATAAGCTCACATCCTAGCACACATTTCACTTAGCTGAAAACTGAAAACTCCACCTGGATTTGCAAATTTCCAGAGCGCTTGAAGCAGTTATCTAGAGAAAATTGTCTAATAAAAATTACCTGGATAACTTGGGTAGTGTAAATTTGTTTATGTTAGTTTACTTCTGCAATTATATAAGGCATTGATAATTCTGAAGAAGAAAAAAAATCTTTTATAAAGCCAGGAATGGTGGCACATGCCTTTGATCCCAGCAGGCAGATCTGTGTGAGTTCTAGGCAGCCTGGTCTACTTAGCAAGTTCCATTGTAAATGTGTATGCTAACATATAAGGTATATTTTCTCCTTCATCCACTCCCACCCTTTAAAAATAAAAACAACAATAAAGCGACTAGAAGCTGGCTTGCATTTGGATTGCCCAAAATGAATCATCAGACTTAGAAGATGGGAGGTGCACAGGAAGGGGCTTCCTGTCAGCCTCCTGTGAGAGGTCCTCGCTGTTCTCAGGTCCACCTGTGTGCGCTAAAGTATGTGAAGAGGCTGCCCTCTGGTGGTAGCAAGAGGCAATAAGACTTGTGGTAACATTGGCAAAGTATGGGTGTTTTCTACAAACAGGGCTGAACAGGTTCAGAGCAAGCACTGCAAAGTCTCTTACCCACCGACTCCAATGCACTATGGGTATTTGGTGAGAAACTGGCAGGGGAACGGGCCTCTGGCAGGAAAGAGAAGCACTGAAATGCCTCCCCTAGCACCTTTGGGAGGGAAAAAAGTTTAGAAGGACAATGTGGGAAATTCCACAGGGCACTTCCTCTAGAAGCACTTTTCTGAAATTAAATTTTTGAATTTTCTTAACTTTTTATTTCAAAGAGATTTAACATCCTCAATACCAAAAAAAAAAAAACACAAAAAAAACAAAAAAAAAAACTTTTAGAAAGTTAGGCATAAAAAGCGTGAGCCTTCTCTTATTTGCCAAACATCAGAATACTAAAATGTGCTCATTCCTGACCTCACTACTGTAAAGAAGACACTTCTTAAAGTCTATAAATGTCACACGAATTTCCTTGATTCTTCCTCCTCTTTTTTTCCTTGAAGTAACCATTGTATTTGAGGCTTTAATATATTCAAATAGTGCCCATTAATTTTTGTGTTAAATAGCAGATGCTATGACCAGGGTAGGGGTCCTCCTCCCTCCCCAGGGTATAACTCTATATATGCATGACTTGTGGAAGTTTTCTGCCTTTCCTGCTTTTTTGTCCACTTTGTGAACATTTTATGAAACATGTTTTGCCTTACTTTGGACACCTTATTTCTTTTGTTATTATTTTACTCTGTTTTATTTATGGTCTTTGATTAATGAGGAAAAAATGCAGAAGTAGCCTTAGACTAGCGACAGAGAACTTAAGTGACTTGGAGCCTCAGTTAGTGACCACGAGTCTGGAGCACTGGCTGAGACCCTAGAACAGCAAGGGTGAGTTAGAGTAGTGACAAGTGTAGTAGTGACCAGTGAGGGACTTGTTACAGTGACTGAAAAGTTAGAACAATGACTGAGAACCTCAAAAGATGTCCTGTAACCAGACCAGTGACAGGGTAGACCTGTGACTAGGAACGTAAAACAGTGACTGAGGACCTACCTAGACCAGTTACAAACCTAGAGCAACGATTGTGAGCCCAGGCCAGCGGCTGAGAATCCAGACCAGTGACTGAGGTCCTAAAGAAATGACTAAAAACCTAGAACAATGAGGACCTGGACATGTGATGGAGAACCAGCCACATCTGTTAATGTTTTTGTCAAGGAGTCAGATGAATCTAGTGTGCTATGGAAGACAAAGCATGAATTAGCATACAATTAAGCATGTGTTTAAAATACCAATGTAAATATTTGAGTAATTATGCCACCTTACTGTTAATGATAATGATTTTGAGTTCAGATTTATTTTGTTCCTTTGGTAAAACACAGGATTCATGGATTGGCCAACAGCTGAAGCTTTGGTTTTCTCAGAGTTCTGCTGGAGCACCATGAATGTCAGTATTTTATACCTTAGTGTGAAATTCACCTTGAATTTTTAAGCGCAGTTTTACTCGAAAGTTCTAGCTGCTTTCCTTTTTCTTCCCCCACCCCCTTTATTCATACTTTTAAACTCTGGAAAAACAAAATATATTTAAGAACTTTTAATTAAAGGTCCTTCCCTTTATTTTCTTTAAAAAATATAATTTAAAATGATCTCAGGCTAGACATGGTGGTACATGCCTTTGATCACAGCACTTGAGAAACAGATGTAGATGATCTTGTGAGTTCCAGGCAAACATGGTCTACATAGTGAGTTCTAGGCCATCCTGGTTTTCATAGTGAGTTCTAGGCCAATCTGGTGTACATAATGAGTTCTAGCCAACCTGGTCTACACAGTGAGTTCCAGTCCAACCAGTTCTGCATAGTGAGGCCCAGGCTTTAACAAAACAAACCGAAAAACCTTCAAAGTTTAAGTTCTGAATTTTTTTTCATGTTTAGGAAAGATGAGAAAATTAAAATGCGTGGGTTATAGTTTCCTAATATTGATGTACCTGAAATTCCATGTGAACCGTGATTCATCACAAATGACTTTTACTTGTGTATGTGCCAACTTTGAACCAGTATTTCTATTATAAACATGTTACTTCCTGTCTGATATTACACATTTCCTACCTCACCATGAAAAGACATTAGGATAAAATAAACAGATGAGAAGCCTAAAGCAAAAGGAGAAAACTGAGAAATAAACCTGCCAGTACAATCCATTCAGAAGACTTCGTCACAGCTGACCAAGTTGCCAGTTTCCATGGTGTTCAGTTTGGATGCACAGAACACATTTGAGTAAACAAGTCCCTCTGCAGAGCTAGCAACTCAACAGCTGACACATTTTTAATTCCTTTTAATTTGACACTTAATGAGGAGAATTGTGTACAGCTTTCCCATATAAAGAACGAAGACTTTGATTTAAGTAAAGCAGACTCTACAGTTATCACCAGTTTTCCTGTCAAAACTGCATAAAGCACTTGGTTTTTATCTATTTGTGTACTGGGTCTCTATTCTTCCATGTGAACTTGACACTCATGGCCCCTCAGGGTTGAGTGGAAAGTGGGAGAGATGGAGGTACCTGCTTAGACTCCTAGAGACCCATCTCCAGGAGCCCAGTGATACTAGCAACACATTAACATGGTTCTACCTGTTCCATCAGAAAGCCTGGGAGTCCACCTTGTGATAAAGAATGTGGGCACCAGAAAACAAGAAGAGCAGAACCTAGGGATCTGTAGTCTGGATAGAGTGATAGCTGGGAAGCATACCATACTGATTATGGGACAGTTGTTGCTATTGTTATGTAATGGGTGATCTGAGAACTGGGAGAGAAGTGTCTGAATTCGGTTACTTAGCCTGGGTAGAGGTGGAAGATGATTTTAAATGTGATGGCAGCTCATTCAGGGAGTTGGGTTGACTTGGGGTCTGTCAGGCAAATTAAGCAATTCTGAATTTCCAAAAAGAAGATGTTAAATGGAGCTAGTGGGGAGACTGCATGTTATCTCATGGGAACACAGCAGTGTAGGCACATTGAAATCTCCAGGAATAACTTCCATGACACAAAAGTTACTCAGTCTTGGGCCTTCTTGAACTCGGAGTCATAACTAATTGAGTAACTCTCCTTGAATATTTATTTTTGTAGAAGTGATAAATATGTGTCAGCTTTGCTTTCTTGTTTATATTTTCATTCAGAATGTGAATCCTGTATAGAGAATAGGGACACACCCACACTACCTCAGATGTCATATGTAGTAAAGGAAAATAGTAATTAAAGCTCCTGAAGTAAGGTTAGAGAAAGTTTTCAGCCACTTAGCTGTTATTATGGCTTCATGTACAATCATGTTTTTCTAAATAGGAACCTTGGCAGGTCTGATTTAAAAAGGCATTAAATAAATTAATTAACCTACGTTTTTGCAGTAGGTTGAATGTGCCTTCAGAAGCAGCATTAAGGACTGTTGGTCCATCTCCAAAACCTTCCTTGGGTGACTGTAGACTAGACACAGATAATAGGAAACTCAACAGGATCATCTTCCCCATGACACTAGGGTCTCTTTAGTCTTCTTCACAGACATTTCACAAAAATAGTGACTGATCCCACCCAGAGTTCCTTATTCAGTTTCATTACTTTGAAACAACTTTCTCTTTATACCTATCATTTCATTTTCCTCTTAAATGGCAAATAGCCTTATTTATTTAAGTCACAAGGGCAACTACCTTCAAAGTTGTCCTCTGGCCCTCCATGCACACACATAAATAAATAAAATTTAATAAAAGTTATTTTTTTAAGAAAGATAAAATATGGTCTGGAAAAATTGCTCAGTAAAGAGTGCTTGCTGCTCTTTCAGAGACCTGAGTTCAGTTCCCAGCACCCACATGGTGGCTCACAGGAGCCCCTGACATCTGGTGCAGGGGATCTGGCACCCTCAGCTGGTAGAATGTAGTGCAGTTTGCCACCTTCCCCAGGAAAACCAGCAAATTAAGTTGCCGGTCAGCTCTATAGTCTAGTTTAGTCATGCCTAAAATGCCTTCGCTTCTACTTCCTGTTTCATATTTACTGGAGTGTCTGTGTTTTCCTTTTCACTCAGTAGCTAATAAGAAAGCCTCTTTTGTTCTAGCTGTGAATTGTTTTCCAAAAATATATACTATTGGTTCTCAGGAATTCCCAGATAAAGGGGAAAAAGTAAACCAAACCCATCTACTATGTTCCAGTTAGTAAAATATACTTGTACAATTCTCCTTACTGTCCCATTGTCCC